CTATAGTAAGAGCGTTCAACAGTGTCATATCCACCACTTTAAAGACACAATCACATGTTTCCTTGTACATCAAACACAAGGACTGACCAGTAAGCCCTGGTCACACAACCTAAGTGAGCTACTGGTGATTTAAGGGTGGAGTAGGTGAGAGATGTACACAGCTGCCTCACCATGCTGAGCTATATATGTGAAATCAAGAACCTTGAAATTAACCTTGAACCTGAGTGGAAGCCAATGTAGAGGAGATAACATGTGAGTTGACCTGCTGGACCTGGTCAAAAGCCTTGCAGCAGCGTTCTGGACCATTTGCAGATGGTCCAGGGACGACTTGCTGAGGCAGGTGAAAAGGGAATTGCAGTGGTCTAGCTGGGATGATATAAAAGCGTGAATAGACATTTGTAACTCGGGGTTAGGGTTAGCCTGGGTTTAGCAATGTTTCTTAAATCGAAGAAAGATTACGAATCAATAATGTGATTTGTTAGACGAAGTACATAGATAGATCAAACATAACACCAAGACTTCTAAGATTAGATTGTACTGCTGAAGAAAGGGACCCGAAAAAAACTGAGCAACCATGGAAGCCATCCTATTAGAAGCAACAATAAGGACCTCAGTATTATCTGCGTTGAGCTGTAAGAAGTTGTTAGCCCTCCAGTTCTTAATCGCAGTCAGACAATTGTGCAGAACAGTCGGATTGTCAGTCTCACCAGGCTTAAGAGAGACATATAATGGGTGAATGTAAATCTGCAATAAAAATGTCACCTACTTAGCTAATCTTTCATGTTATTTTATACTTTCTTGTTTTCTTTTGTCAAGATCCTATTGCTTTTAGTTCCTAGAAAATAGGGAAAGCACACCTAAACACATATGAATGAAAAGTGTTGTAAGTAGAAGCCAGGTATTTCACATGGCTGATTTAAGCAACAATCATATATACTATAAAGTACCTGTTCCGTGGATATTTCCAGTCAGGAAACCAGCCTTGACAGGAAATGGGCTTCTGGCATCTCCCAACATTCCTGTGCCCAGCTGGCCATGGCTATTACAACCAAACGCATATACCACACCAGAGGAAGGCACAAACGCCAACGTGTGACGCCTGACAAAAAGAAAAATTGAAACAGAAAAGTGTCTGACTTCACAGTAACTCCAATGCTGAGGCTGTTAATGGAGGCGTTGCATTCAATCGCATTTTTGTCAGAGGCGTTAGTATTATTGTGTCTCCCTTATGTACAATATGTAAAATCAGAATCAGAATCAGAAGGAGCTTTATTGCCAAGTACTGTTTTACACAAACGAGGAATTTGGTTTGGTGATAAGGTGCTACGTGCAGACAAACATACAGTTGACATAAATAAATGTAGAAATATATAAATACGGAATAAACAAATGCAAGTTGTACAAGAATAATTAAAGAATAGAGAAATATAATACAACTATTTGCGGAGAAGGAACAATGTGGCAGATATTTACATGTGCATTACTCCAGTTATGATGTGCAGACGTATTGCAAGGGAAGAGAATATTGTGAACATATATATAAAAATTGACAAATATAATAATATAGAACAACGATTAACAATTAACAACAAATATGTGCAATGTGCCAGGTTTGTGCATGATATATAATGAAGTAAAATTTAGATGTGCAGAGACATTTGTATTATTTGTCCTGATGGGCCACAGCCTCTTGCCAGAGGGGAGAGTCTGAAACAGTTTGTGTCCAGGGTGGGAGGGGTCAGCTACAATCCTTCCTGCTCGCCTCAGAGTCCTGGAGGCGTACAGGTCCTGAAGAGAAGGAAGATTGTAGCCAATCAAATTCTCTGCAGAGCAAATGATACGCTGCAGCCTACCCTTGTCCCTGGCGGTGGCAGCAGCGTACCAGATGGTGATGGAGGAAGTGAGTATGGACTCAATGATGGCGGTGTAGAAGTGCACCATCATTGCCTTTAGCAGGCTGAACTTCTTCAGCTGCAGCAGGAACTACATCCTCGGTGGGCCTTTTGGTGAGGGAGGTGATGTTCAGGTCCCACTTGAGGTCCTGGGAGATAATGTTGCCCAGAAAACGGAAGGAGTCCACAGTGGTGACGGGGGAGTCACAGGATGATGGGGGAGGGTGGGGCTGGGCTCTTCCCGAAGTCCACGACCATCTCCACTGTCTTCTGAGCGTTGAGCTCTAGACTTTTCTGGCTGCACCAGGTCACCAATTGGTCAATCTCCCACCTGTAGGCGGACTCATCCCCACCAGAGATGAACCCACTGAGGGTGGGGTCATCTGCAAACTTCAGGAGCTTGACAGACTGGTGACTGGAGGTGCAGCTGTTGGTGTACAGGGAAAAGAGCAGGGGGGGAAAAAACACAGCCTTGAGGGGAACCGGTGCTGATGGTCCTGGAATCAGAGACATGTTCCCAGCTTCACATGCTGCTTCCTGTCCGTCAGGAAGTCAATGATCCACCTGCAGGTGGGGTCAGGCACGTTCAGCTGAGAGAGCTTGTCCTGCAGTAGGGCCGGGATGATGGTGTTGAAAGCAGAGCTGAAATCCACAAACAGGATCCTGGCGTAGGTTCCTGGGGAGTCCAGGTGCTGGAGGATGAAGTGAAGGGCCATGTTTACTGCATCACCTACAGACCTGTTGGCTCTGTTGGCGAACTGCAGGGAGTCCAGGAGTGGGTCTGTGATGGATTTTAGGTGGGACAACACAAGGCGCTCAAAAGACTTCATTACCACAGAGGTCAGGGCGACGGGTCTGTAGTCATTTAGTCCTGTGGTCCTTGGTTTCTTGGAGACAGGGATGATGGTTGAGGCTTTCAAGCCGGCTGGCATGTCTCCAGTGAGGTGTTAAAAATGTCTGTGAACACCAGTGTGTATACATCTAAGCCAAGTAGGTTAGCTGCAGCATTGATTTCTACTTCAGCTGCCCAGATATCATCAGATTGTATTCTGAACTTGTTTATATAATCCTTCAAAGATGTGTACTGCCTGTCAATCAATGTGCTGAACAACAACACACTGCACTCCATGTGTTTCATGATAGCAGGCCTAAAGTTATGATGAAAATATTGGTTTCCACACACAACGTGTGATATAGCTCGAAAAAGCAGTTTCTATCAGCATCAATTTTGTCTGTTGTGTACGTTTCACCCTATGAACCTAATGATTTCTGAAAGTTAAAAACATGCAGTACCTGCCACAGGTGATCTGGGACACCTCAGTGCCCATGAGCTCCAGCACTCGTCTGGGTAAAAGTTCGTCATTGGTGGAGCCATGGCCCAGCTGACCCCACGAGCCATCACCAAATGTAAACAAGCCGCCATCCTGCCAGAGACACAATACAGAATTCCTTTTTTTGTTGTTTTAGACAGAGTTTCTTAGCATAGTAGTGCAGTCAGAACTAAAGTACTGTTTTTCCCCATGACCACAAGTAAAACCCACGTGTCCTGTGGTGGATTAAGATTAGTCAGGGTTGGGCAGTTTGGCTGGAATAGGATATCAGATTTTATCTGTGCAATGAAGGTCAACTTTGCAAAGGAATTTTCCTCCTGGGACCTAAGTGGGTTTAAAGGTAGTAGGTCCAGGTTATACACATGTCCCAGACATGGAAACAGAACTACCTCTGTCTCTCTAGTTCACACTGAAGTATTTCCCTGTGGGTGCATAATGACAACTGGGTAGGTCGTTGCCTAGTCCACCAAGGACAAGATATATGGTGATCTGCTTCAGTCTTAGATGTTTACAGTCTCATATTAGAATGTAATACATGTGGACTCCTAATTCCAACATGACCTAGGTAAAGCACTAGAGTTCAGTTTGGTTTTGACACTACATAGTGTTATCACTTTGTACTGCTGTTGGCATTTTTCTTCTTAGCCGAGCTTCATTTAACAATGCTATGTAAGACATACCAAGTTTCCTGAAACCTTCATCTTCAATGAGGGTTGACCAGTTCACAAGAACTTTCTTTCACAACCTTGGTTGATGCTTTAGTAGTGAGTCACTATAAAGCTAGAATACTGATACCAAACTGGACTATTTAACAGTTGGTGGCGGAAGGAAGTGAAAATTACTGCTGTTGGAGGGGGGTTTATCTACATTCATACCTTGGTGAGGGCTGCTGTATGTTCTTCTCCACAACTGATGTGAACAACCTTCTGCGATCTCAAAAATTTGATGTGGCATGGGACAGCACGGTCTGAGGAAGGGAACACAAACAAGAAAGGAAGATCACACTGTTCCCCAGTGCTACTAGTGTCATGTTTTTACAAATGAGTGGTAAGACATGGCAACCTCTGCATTTGAATCTAGTATTGTGGTGGCAATAAATCACTAACTTTGCTTTCCAATAGGTATTTGTAGGTTATCATGACAAGACAAAAGACATTTTGCGTGAAATGTTCCTATAGTAGTCTCTCCCACAATATGGCCACCTAGAAACATTTTTAACACACAGCGCTAAATAAAGTAGAACAGTATGGTATCATTGTTCCACAGAGACTTGTTTACAATTTCCAGTAATATGACATATGTATACTGTATTTTCCATATAGGAACACTTCAATTAAAGATAGTCAGAACAACACTGTGTAGGTCATTGTATCTGTTGTTCATCTGTTGTGTTTGTTTATTTTCCTTATTAATAATTTACTATGTATTTAGCTATAAATAAATGCCCTTATTTATTCATTAGGAAGTGATTAATTACTCCAGTTTAAGGTTCCCTGTTTTCCATAAACTGTGGTGGTGCCCCTTTGAACAAGTTTTATTAAAGTAGTTATTTGGCACAACTGTAAGTGAATTGTATTAAATCTACGCATGTATTATGTGTATATTATTACCTTGTTTATCATTGAGACCCAGCTGTCCAGCTTTGTTCTTGCCCCAACCAAATACAGCTCCGGACAAGGAGAGAGCGAAGCTGTGGTCTCCCCCGGCGGTTATCTGTGCCAAAGGAATTCCCGCCAGAGACTTCAGGGGATGAGGGAACAGCTTGCTAGGCTCTCCTTTCCCCAGACCGAGCTGACCGCTGGTGTTCTGGCCCCACGTGAACAGCTGGCCATCTGAGAGGAAACAGACAGAGAAGCAAACTAGTTAACTGTACATCTACACCAATTACCAATTACTGCCTGTACAGGCAAATATGCAACATTTTGCAAGCGCTGTTCTAACCGCATTCCTTAATGTCATTTCACTTTGATATCACTGATGTTGTTATTGTTGAATGTGATGTGTGGATGGGCAGCAGGGTTGTAAAAATGAACATTAAATAGCGGCCGTATGAAGCGTCTCCCCAGTGACACTGTGCCCATTTACGCATGAGCCACAGCAACATAAATTAAGAATAAAAAATCTCCCGACACGCCGACTGGATCGGTCAAGATCTGATGTTAATTCCTGAGCTCCATCAGGGTGGATGATTTGTGCGTATAGGCCTATATAAGTTCCGTTAATGTCCAAGCCGATCCGCATATCACACCAATTCAGCTGCTATAATCGTGACAAAACAGCTGCTGAAGTCAAATTATTAGGCTGTAATATCAACCAGAGCATTCAGCACTGATCTGTTTCATGTTTTAATAGCCTAATAGTGCCCATGTAGTCTGCACGTAATTACAACAGTAAGTCCTGTGAGTCCTGTGATGACAGCTGTAATTGGGGCTATATGAGATAAATGTTACTGTGTCATTTTGTAAAGGGTGCTGTAATCTGACTGTTTAACAGATGCTATTAATGTTTATTGGAACCTCGAGATGTTTATACGTGTTATAATGTTAAGAGACATGTTTCTGGATTGTGAAGAAATGATCTGAAGCCTTTAGTGCCAAAAGCTGGTCTGCTGCTCTGACAGAGATCACAGCTCAAAGCTGTGCAACAGGTCATATTTAAATGACGTCGCTTTAAAATGACGGCTCCGAGGAAAGGACATCTCATTTTGTTAAATGCCCGTTTCCTCGACTCCTCTCTCCTCGCATCTCTTCCTTGACTCCTCAAGCTCGCATCTCGGGTGGGTGCGACTAACATGTCTAGAGTCGATGAGGTGAAAATTTGGGAAATGAGAAAGGCCCTCAGACTAGTGACACCTGTGTGTAATTAGTTTCTCCCCCACCTGTGTATTGAAGTGGTTGTCTGTCTTTCAGTGGTTGCCAGTTGTTTGTTTGAATGTAAGCTTCTTTCGACGGGAGGCTCTGTGTGTTTCTAGTTTAGTCTCTAGTTAGTCTCCTGTTAAGTTTCATGTCTCCCTGTTTCTTGTGGAATACTATTTCGCTTGGATTTTTGGACTTTGTTTTTACCTGCACTGTAAGTTTCACCGTTTGTGCAATAAATCACAGTAATCATCAGTACCATCTCTGTGTCTGCATTTGGGTCCACAAACTCTGTCTCCTGCGTTCAGCCCTGCCGGCTGAACGTAACATTAGTGTTCATAAGCTGATATAATTTCTTTCAATGTGCCTTTTTGTGGTGATTAAAAAAATATTTGATTATGAACTAATTACAGCTTGTACAGTATTTTTGTGGGGCATGTTTGCTTGACTGACAGGTGCCTCAGCCTAGCCCTGAACAGTGCTGCTGTGCAATGAAGAGACTGTGTCTTTCCCACCTCTAGATAGTGCAATGCAGTGCTGATTCCCACACATTACTTGAGAGATCCGGTGGTCACACAGCCTTTTGACCAACCTAGAAAAAAACAAACATTTGTTTATCAGGACCAACAAATTTACGTAAATATAATAGAGGACAAACAACATAACATAAAAATTTTAACTTTTCTCAAACAAACAAAAAAAATGTGTGACTAAGCTACTCAGTACTCAATCTAAGATTGCAAGTAAACCACAAATTACAGTAAATCCCATGTTTTCATCTTTTTATCAGCTAAGGTGCCATTTAATGCACCATGGTATCGGAGCTCAAAGATTGTCTTTGCCTTAAAGGTGGGGTATGCAATTCTAGAGAAATCCAATACATGATAAATACCATGATATAAAGTGAACAAGCTAAGTTGTGGGTTAGTAAACTGCTGCTGCGAAGCTAACATGCAGAGAGAACAAGACGGTTTCCCAGAGCCAGCACACCAGCTCCAGACAGCGATGCTCAACTCTCCTGCTACTATTGCTAACATCACAACATCAGCATATCTTGGCAAACTACAATGTAAGCTCAATGTCCATATGCAAGTCATTTAACATTACCTGACACACAAATCATGGCTGGAATAGTGTTGTGTGGCTCAATTTAAGCCACTTTGTTTGTTTCCCGATTACAGAGCCAGGGCTGTGTACAAACACACTGAACAGACAGCTAGTGGACCGTGAGGAGATATTCCCTGAATTGACATAAAGACGTGTATTGGATTACAACCGTATACCCAAACTTTAAATTAGTCTGTCATATTAAACTGAACTATAAGTACAGCCCTAAGACTACTTTACAATCATGAAGGTTTCACGATCCTACAGCAGGTAATTCACTGCATCTGAATAGTTAAACTACATTACACTCTAATTTTATGGGAACAGAAATAATTCTCATCATTATTTTGGATGCGTGAGTCCCTACAAATCGTCTGTTTTGACTGCTTGAGTACTGTTATGTAGTGCTCATGTCCCAACCTCCAATCTCTTCAAAGTCATTTTCTTGTAGTGTTTTTATCTCCTTTCAGGCTAAAAGATGAAATCGTTCCTTTATTGATGCCCCATAGGGCAAATTCAAAATGGCACAGCGGAATGTAAAAAGAAAGAACAAAATATAATAAGTTGAATCCGTAAACATCAGAATCAAGTCTATAAAATATATACACAATCAAAACAGAATCTGAAGAAGCTTGAATTCCTGTAAGGTGTGCTACTCAGTCACCTTGGGATTCGAACAGCCGCCTCTGCAGTCCCCAGGCCGAGCTGGCCCCCTTCACCAGCTCCCCAGGAAAACACTTGACCGTGCTCATTAACCGCCAGAGAATGGGCCCGACCACACGACACCATTGTGATCGTCTGAGTATCCAGAGCTCCCACTGGCTCTGTGGAGAGGAGGAAGAGCTCGTCAGACGTCTGCAGTTTCATGCCAAAAACACAAGTATGTACAGCCTTGATTTGAGAGTGCAGGTGCTGTAGATACTCCTTTCACAAATGGCATTATGGTCCCTTTAACTTTTCTGTTACGCACATGTCATACCAAGTGTAATATTCTGCTTATCAAAACTAAAATAATGTATGTTTCAGCTAGAGAATCCAAATGGTAACTTTCTTACTTTATCTAATCCTTCTGACAGCAAAAACAGGCATGTGCTGAATGTAATAACATAATAACACCTGAGATACAGAAGCTAGGAACGTATAATAATGTTACATACACAGAAAGAAATCTGAGTCATCCATACTTTCGACTGCACTGTGAAAATGGGTTTGTCTCCATCCAGTATGTCTCCTGCTGTTAATCTGGTTTATCATACAGTTAACTTGGTTAATGCTACAATTCCTTAGAAAAAGAACAAATACACAAATGTGTATGTGTTTTCAATTGAGCTTTAACTATAGTATGGCATTTAATCAGCAATCTTTATTTTGTAGGCTCATAAAAAAGTTATATTCATCTAACTAAACATACCTGATGAAGGCCTACTAATTAAAACATTATTAAATAAATTAATTACGGGTACTTATACAGTGTGTGGGATGTCATCAAGGCAGTTTCCAGACTGCATACTTGTCACCAAGGATTTTTATGTGTGAAAAACTTGTCAAGGTCAATGTATTTGCTTGAGGAGTCGTGATTACATTTAATTATTAAAGCTTCACAATGGAGATAGACTGGTCTTAATATTATTTGTGAGAACAGATCAACAATCTTTGTGTAAAAAACACTTTCCATATTTATGACCTCACAAAAAAGAAAATGGGTATGTGGCTAGTCATGCAATCTATTGTTCCCACTCAGAAATGGAGACACTTTGACAAAAACGTGTAGGCCTATTTATGATACTCTCTATTATACCAAGCAGGAAGCTTCCGGTCAGCAAACTGACGCGAACACGGAAGTCCCTTAAACCTGCATTCTATCGAACGGCCAGCAGGGGGCGACTCTTGTGGTTGCAAAAAGAAGTACGGTCCTATTAGAAATAATGGTAAAATGACTCTAATTCTCAGCTGATTTATTACCCCAGTAAACAAAGTAGACCATAAAGCAGAGTATGCTTCAGGGCGGGATTATCTGTGATTGACAAGTCGTTACTATGGCAACCTGTCAGTCAGGCTAGAGTGACTCGTACCTACGGCACTGTGTAAATTTAACCAGCGCCGTTGAAAAGCTTATTAGGAGTTGGCTTTTCACTCTCTCTGGTGAGTACATTTAGTTTTAAAATTGTTTAAAACTGTTCTCTAGACAAAATTGTCAGCCCTGTTAAAATGACAGTTGAACACGAATTACAGATGCACCTAGCTAAGCAAGCCAATTAGCTCCACACACGGCTGTTAGCTCCACGGTCTCGTCCAAATATGGTCACATCCGGTGCTGCTGGTTGCAAAAAATCAACATGGCGGCGCCAAAATTTTAAGACATACAGTACAAAAGACATTTCACTGCATTTTCGGAAGGCACTTTCAGTTTTACATAAAGATACGGTGTTTGAGATACGAAAAAAAAAGGTTTAGACGTTAAGTCCAATGTGTAATTTCTAACATCAACGTTCGCTGTACAGAAACAAGCCATGCTAACAGCTGAACTTAGGCACAGTATTACTTTGTGCTAAATGCTAACATCATCAGGCTAACAAGCTCAAGGGAATGTCATTAGTTCTGCAGCTATTTGGTCAAACAATGAACACCTGCACCAAATGTCATGGCAATTCATCCAGTTGTCAACATATTTCACTAAAAACAAAAACGTCAACCTCATGGTGGCACTAAAGGAACTCACAGATCACCAAAGTCAGTAGGATTCATCCTGTGGGATCCATGAATGTCTGTCCAACATTTCATTGGAATCCATCTAATAGTTGTCAAGATATTTTAATATATCTTGACATATTTCAGCCTTTGGAAACACACCATGTTATCTTCACCCGCATTTTCACCTGCTAGGTAACTTTCCATACACCTAGGGAAAGCTTTTTGGTGCAACGACCTGCAATTTGTAATTATTAATCTAAAGTCTGTGAATGTGTTTTTCACGCTGAAAGCTTACCTGGTGAAGTACCTGGTTTGTCGTGGCCCAGCTGCCCATAGCTGTTAGAACCACATGTGTACACACTACCATCATGCAGCAGGAACATTGTGTGTTGCCCTCCACAGGCCAACTCTTTCAGTCCCCTGCCACTGAACACGGGACAGTTCCTTGGCTCAAACATGGAGTTCCCCTCCACACCAATCCCCAACTGTCCATCCTTTGCATTCCCCCAACACAGCATGTTGGCGAGAGGAGAGGGGATGAGCACCAATCTGAAGAGACTGAGAGAGTGACGGCCAGATGGAGGAAGATAGAAAATGTTCAGGCTTGAGAGCAACCCCGCTTTCTCCTCTTCATGTAAATTCCAATCCTCAAAGAAACAAAAAACAGAGTAATTACGTCATCTTTCTTCATTGGGAAAACATACTGATCACGGTGCTCCACGTGTGAACCCATGTTGATAATAAAGTAAGTACGAGTTTAGAGGTGGGCGTGGCTGTGTGTGAGAATGATGTAAGCAGCATGACAGAGGAATAGGCAGTGTGTTTAAATAAACCATGTCGGTGTAATCCCATCTTAAGCAGCTCCAACCCGGTCTAGCCTTCAAGACGATCCACTTGCAATACAGGCATGTTACTGAGGGAGTTAGCCAAGCGTAATGAACACATGGGTATAAAACATTATAAAAGGAAACACAAAATGACATAAATCGGTAGACAGAAAGAAGTGAGAAGAGGTGAAAGCAGTATGGAACCGCCGCATCTGTCACCTCATCAAATTGAGGGCTTCAGAGGCTTTAGACCAGGATTACCTAATAAATTCATACAGAGGACAACCGCGGCTACCCTTCACTACTCCAATTTGATCACTTTATGCCCATCTAGCCCCTATTTGTAAAGTTGTTTGCTCTCTATCTCCACTGTAGATAAGATCTGTGTGAACAAAAATATAATTTTTGTGTGTAATATCTGCATTCAACTGCCAATATGTTAGGCACGTAACAGAAATGAATGCAATCAATTACAAAAGCCCTGCAATAAATCCTACCACCATGAATTACAGCTAAACAATTAGTCCATTAATCAATAACTGACAAAAAATGTATCTGCAAATATCCTGAAAATGGATTACTTGATTAAATAATGTGAATATGAATATCTGCTTGTTTATTTAGTCCTCTATAAAAGCAAATTGAACATCTTTAAATTTTAGACTGTTGGTCAGAATAAACAATCAATCGATTTATTTTCAAAATTTTCTCACATTTTATGGATATATTGAA